ATAATAAAAACAACAACAATAATAGCAGGCTCAAGGCAAGCTACAATCTATACATCTATATATACTCATCTATTCTCCATAATAATAATAACAATAACAACAACAACAATAGCAGCCTTGAGGCATAATAATAATAATAATAATAATAATAATAATAATAACAATAATACTAACATCAACAACAATAATAATAGCAGACTCGAGGCGGGCTACAATCTATACATCTATACATACACATCTACCCTCCATAACAATAATAATAACAACAACAACAATAATAATGATAACAGCCCTGAGGCATAATAATAATAATAACAACATCAATAACAATAATAATAGCAGACTCAAGGAGGGCTACAAGCTATACATCTAGAAATACACATCTACCCTCAATAATAATAATAATAATAATAATAATAATAATAATAACAACAATAATAATAGCAGCCTGGAGGCGGGTTTCAACCTCTCCATCTCGGCATGCCCATCCACCCTCCATCTGGCTCAGCCACCCAAAAACAGCATCAGTGGGTGGCTTCTTCCCTTTGGCGTCGGCGCGCATGAATCATAACCGAGCTCCTTGCAAAGAAAGAACAAACGCCCCGCAGCCCTTTGCAAGAAATGGTGCAATGTGCAGGCCGAAAGGGGGGCTGTTGAACATATAGATGACCCCGAAGCCGTGCCTCCCTAGCAACGACACACCCGCTCACCTGGTGGCTTTGGCACCTGAGACACCCCCCAATGCAGCAGGACTGCACCACTGACACATGTGGTTGGCCCGGATACAGATCCTGCAGCACCAGCATCACACCCACAAAGCGGTGCAGACCCCCCCTTTGGCTTTGACATTGGTACCAAATAAATAGTCGGACTCACAATAGGTTTTGCGGGTCAGCTCCTCCACCACTTCGGGCTTCAACTTGCTGTTGGATTTCCCCATCGCGGCCCGGAGAATTTAGCAGCGCATCAATTTCGGGTTTGGTTTTGTCGTCTTGCTCGATGTCAATGGGTTGGCAGGCTGTCTCGGAGCCAGACCCAGAACGGCAGGAGATTTGTCCTTTGTGGCGCAAACAAACAAAATACGTATCAAATCAGAGCAATATGCAATATATATATATATCTATGTATTTGAGTGTCAACAGCCTTGATGGCTGGAAAGCATCCGATCCAGATGGTTTTCTTGCTCGGTGTCAATAGCAAGGAGCGATTGCAGACCGTCTTTTTTTTTGCAGCAGCAGCGATGGATGCAAAACATTAATTTTAGCAGATCGTCAATGTTGTCGTGTTGCTTTCCTTGCTTTAGTGTCAATAGCAGGTCAGAAGAGTCAATGTCTTGTCACAACGGCTTTGGAAGAGACTTGATGGATTCCAAAATAATAATAATAATAATAATTCAAGCAGGTCATAAATATGAATATATATATATATATATATATATATATATATATATATATGTTTAATGTCAGACGGAAAGATTGGAGACAAGCCTTTAAGGATTCAAAAATAAACTTGGCATAAATTTCAAATATTTTTTTCCTAGCTTAATTGCAAGGATTATTCAATTTATTATTATTATTATTAGGGATTTAAAAAAACTGGCATAAATTTTAAATATTTTTCTCAAGCTTAATTGCAAGGATTATTCAATTTATTAATAATAATAATAATAATATTTATTAATAGGATTAAAAATTGGCATAAATATTTTTTCAGGCTCAATTGCAAGGATTATTCCATTTATTATTATTATTTTTAATTAATTATTAATAGGATCCCCCCCAAAAAAATTGGCATAAATTTTAAATATTATTCTCGAGCTTAATTGCAAGGACTATTCAATTTATTATTATTGTTATTTGGTATAAATTTTAAATATTATTCTCGAGCTTAATTGCAAGGACTATTCAATTTATTATTATTGTTGTTATTATTATTATTTAATTATGAATAGGATTCCAAAAAAAAAATATTGGAATTAATTTAAAATATTTTTCTCAGGCTTAATTGCAAGGATTACTCAATTTATTATTATTATTTATCAATTATTAATAGGATTCCAAATTAAATTTAAAATATTTTTTCTCAGGCTTAGTTGCAAGGATTACTCAATTTATTATTAATAATAAATAATTATTAATAGGATTCCAAATTAAATTTAAAATATTTTTTCCTCAGGCTTAATTGCAAGGATTATTCAATTAATTAATTAATAATAGGATTTAAAAATTGGCTGAAAATTTGAATATTTTTTTCAGGTTTAAATTGCAAAGATTATTCAATTTATTATTATTTTAATTAATTATTAATAGGATTCCCACCAAAAAAAATTGGCATAATTTAAAAAAAATTTGCAATCTTAACTGCAAGGATTATTCAATTAATTATTGATTATTAATTAATTACCAATAATAATTTCCAAAGGAATTGCATGCGAGCAAGGTCCGGGGCAAAACCGGACCCTTTGCAGCAGCGATCGTTGCAAAGATAATAATTTTAGGACATTTAAGACAATAATATTAGATGCAAAAAAATCCCAATTTTATGCTGATTATTAGTATCAATAGCAAGGCAAATCAATTTGGGGATGTATTATTTATTTATTTATTTTGGCTCGGTGTCAATCATCAACAGCAGGGATCGCAGACTGTCTGCGTTCCTTGCGGCAGCCCGAGAATTGAATAATAATAATAATCGATAATCAATAATCAATAAATAATCAGTAAAGCAAGGGATTGGACGAGGAAGAGAGGAGGGAAGAAGGGATGGGGAAGAAAAGAGAGAAATAAAAGGGGGGGAAATAATAATAATACAAATTAAGAAGGAGGGATGGGAAGAGGAAGAGAGGACGGAAGAAGGGAACGAAGAAAGGATGGGGAAGAAGAAAGAGACAATCCAATAGTCCGATAATAATCCAAAGAACGATGGGTTTGTGGTCCTCGTCTTCAGCGGAGCATCAAGCGAGGAAAGGTTGCTCCATTTCGGCCGAAGGATGATGAGGATGATGCCAACACCGGATGATGATGAGGATGATGCCAATCTTGGGTTAATGCATGGCCGGAAGGTCCAAAGGAATGAATGGGTGCAACTGCAGGGCTTTGTTGTCAACCCTTTATGCGTCCTTTCTTCCTTTCTTTCCTTCCTTTCTTTTCCTCTGGCGTGTTGCTGCTGTCGTCTGGGTGACAAAATAACACCCTCCTCCTCCTCTTCTCCTCTTTCTCTCCTCCTCTTTCTCTTTCTCTCTCCTCCTTTCCTGCCTGCTCTTGCTTGCAGAGATGGAGCAGAAAGGAGGCGTGGATGCGGGAAACTGCCACTCTCTTCCTCCTTTTGTCTTCCTTTTTTCCTCCTCCTCTTCTCCTCCTCCTTCACTCTGCCTTTTTCTTTCAGAGGGAGGGAAGGAAGGAAGGAAGGAGGAGGAGGAAG